GGTGTTGCCTCAGTCAAACTGAGACCTGGAAAAGACCTTAACTTAAAAAGGCCACGGTCTCCCACTGCATCCAGGGCCATCTCCAGTCATCCTGATCTATTTCTTGCCATTGGAGGAGAAAGTGAGGCTGGTGACTTTGCACAGCCCTCCCTCACGTAAATCCAATTCACTTGCAAGTCATGGCATCACCTCCGTGATGTCACGATCCTCTTTGAGAACAAAGGACAAATAACAACAAAAGCAGCCTCTTGTGCTTAATAAGTGTTTATTGATTGAGTTATTAAAGTTTGGGCTAGTCTGGGTGGGCAGTGAGGCAGGCAGGTCCAGAGAAGGGAAAAAGATGTATTTAATAGCTGAGAAATCTTCCATTGAGGACGGGAGGGGCTCCTTTTCTTGTCCTAGTGCCTGGAACATAGTAAGCACTAATAAATGCTTTAACCATCCATCCATTCATCTATCTATCATCTATACTTCTATCTATTTATGTCTATCCATATTTCTATGCACCTAACCATCTATCTAGCCATCTGTCTATATTTCTATATATCTACCTATCCATCTGTCTATCCATCCATCTATATTTCTATGTATCTCTCTATCTATATTCCTATGTATTTATCTATCCATCTATACTTTTATGGATCTACCCATCTATCTATCCATATTTCTATCTATCCATCTTTCTATATTTCTATGCATCTATCCATTTATCTACCATCTATATTTCTATCTATATATGTGTCTAACCTTCTGTCTATCCATCTATCTATATTTCTATGCATTTATCTATCCAGCCATCTGTCTATCCATCTGTATTTCTATGGATCTATCCATCAATCTATACTTCTGTCTATCCATCTACCTATATTTCTACATATCTATCCATCCATCCATCTACTTGTATTTCTATGTAACTATTCATCCATCTATCTGTCTATCTATCCATCCTCTCTCTTCCTCATCTGCTATGTGAGTTGGATTGAATAAAACAGGACTTGAAGAGGGGGAGGAATAGCTCTGGTGACTTGAAGCTGACCCCATGATTCCCTGGTCTCATCCAACACCAGGCAAGATTAGAGGCAGAGCACGGGTCTGTGTGAAGGATGGCCAGAGGAGGTTGACCCCCGTCTCACTTTGCTGGACACCCTCCCTGCATTGTGCACATACCACATGTTCTTGGGTACAGTTGTAGCCACTCAGCCTTTTGTGAGTCCCAAGGGAGCTGTCCACATCCAATGAGCAGTGACGGGGTCAGTCGGCCGCTTCTCCGTGAAGGGCACTTTGCTACTGCAATCTATCTACCCCTTTTTTTCCAGGCTTCTCTCCAGCCCCAGTCACTGCAGCTCTGGTCTGCAGCTACATGCCTGTCTGGTCTGCTCTTTCTCCAAACTGCAGCATGAATAGCAGAGCAGAAATGTATATTTGGGTATCAGGCTGCTCTGTGCAGGCTTGCAGGCTGGGCGCTGTCAGCTTTCTCAGGTTCAGGGAAGTCCTGCAATGTTCCAACAATCTTTTTCTCTCTCCTCTTATCCTCCCAAGGAAAACAAAAAACTATAAGACAGGAAAATGCTGAAAATTCTAATGAATCTGGCAAGCTTGCCAGATGGCTGACAATCCTCTAGCAATATTTAGGAAGGGGAAGGCTGATAAAGACAGATGAACTTTTATTTGAAAGTGGCTAGCTGGAGCTCAATCTTTATCCTCGAGTTTTTCATTGGAGGAGCCTTGAGGCCTGGCAGCTGTCTTAGGTCTGCATTGATGGGTGGGAGGAATATGTACATGCAGATACACACACACTCACACACAATCTGTCTCTCTAACCTTGGAGTTGAGGACTGCCTCGTGCAGGAGAAGATATTGAAGGGAGGTTGTCTTTGGTTTGATTCCTCTGAATGTTCGTTAATTCTCCCCACCCCCAAGACATGTCAAAAAAAAAATGAACTAATTGTTTACACCTTCCCCCTCACCAGCACTCGCATTCCCAGATTTTTTTTAAATTAGACCTGTTATTTCCACTATGCCTCATTGTCATGACCACATTAAGTCAGTTCATTTTCACATTTGCTAAGAGGTTCTGATCTGCTCTATCCAGAGTGTATCTTATAATAGTTTGAGTGGGTTATCCACAATTCGAATACCTCCTAAGATCACAAATCACAGATTTAGAGCTGGAAGGGACCTCAGGGTCCATCAAGGCCAACACTTTCATTTTACAGATTTGGAAAATGAACCTAGAAGGGTACAGAGACTCCCCCAGGATCATGCAGGTAGTGTCAGAAGAGGGACAGAACCAGTTTCCTTTCTCAAAGTTGCCGATACAAGGTTAAAATCGAGGTAATTGGGACCAAGCCTAGTGGTGGAGGGGAGAATGTCAAGAGTATGGGCAAGCGTGTCTACATTTCAACATGTAAATTGTCCAACATGAGTTGGGACCTGAGTTAGTTCCATTAACAGAGATTTTCGAAAGTTCGTTGGATTTCTATGGATGATGTTTTTATATTCCTTGTCTTCTCCCCACCCCATACACACAATGCAATAGCTATTTGGGGAGGAGGCAAGGGAGAAGAGGAACTGTGTCCTTCTCTTCTCACCATCAGAAGTGACTCTGAACAAGTGTTCCACAAATATGTGCCCCTGGCCAAGAAAGACACGGTGAAGGTGAGGACAGGAGGAACAGCATTTGTTCATGGAAAGAGCCCTGGACTTGGGGGTCAAAAGTTCGGGGCTCAAGTCGCAGTCCTAACGTGCATTTACTTGTGGTGGGGCTGTGGGCAATAACCAATCAATTCCCCAAGCGTCCATGAAATGCTTATGATGTCCAAGGCCCTATACTACGCTTCCAGTTTGGACTTGTGATTTCATTTGTGTTTGGAGCTTTCTCTGAGCAACTCCCTTGGCCCATGTAGATCAGCATGGCCCTTGGCCCTTTGCTAGTGAGTTCTCTAGGGCAATAAGTGAAGTGATTTGTTTTGGGTCAATTAGCCATGTGTCTGAAGTGAAACTTGAACCCTGATGATTCTGAGCTCATTATCCACTATGTCATGGTGCCTACTGGGATGCTAGGGACACCAGGACAGAGAAACAAATAAACTATGCAGTCTCTTTCCTCAAGGAGATGAATGTTACACTAGCTGCCCCCCCAGGCCTGGAACACTCTCCCTTCTCTGCTCTGACTGCTGACCTCCCTGGCTTCCTTGAAGTCCCAACTAAAATCCCACCTTCTACAGGAAGTCTTCTCTAATCCCTCTTAATTTCAGTGCCTTCCTTATGTTAATTATTTCCTACTTATCCTGTATATAGCTTGCTTTGTATATATTTGCACGTTGTCTCCCCCATTAGATTGTAAGCTCTTTGAGGGCAGGGATTGACTTTTTTGGTCTCTTTTTGTATCCCCAGTACTTAGCACAGTGCCTGGTACACCATAGGTACTTAATGTGTATTGATTAATATTTGTACATATTGCTTATACATGTGTTTATATTTATAAATATTTATATACACTATTTATGTAGTGCTTTACTATTATATTACTATCTATTATTATATCAGCTCACTGTTTTTCTGAGTCTCCTTCTATGGCTTCAATCCACATCACACCCCTTAAAAGTGGGTGCTCCCCAAGGTTCTGTCCTGGGCCCTCTTCTCTTCACTATTTCTGCTCTCTCTTGCTAACCTCATCAATGCCCAATGAGTTTAACCATCATTCCTATACAGATGTCTCAACAAATTAGATATTCAGCCTTGATCACATTATCAACTAACTGCCCCTTGGACATTTCCAACAGGATGTCCCAGAGACATCTCAAATTCAATACGTCCAAAACTGACCTCATGATCTTTCACCCTAAACCATCTTCTCTTCTAAACGTCTCCATTTTGGTGAAGACATCACCACCCTTCCAGCATCTCAGGGTTGTGGTCTCCGAATTATCCTGGATTCCTCACACTCCCTCACCCCACATACCCAATCAGTTGCCACATCTTGTAATTTCCACCTTCATAACATTTTTTTTTGTTGTTGCCACTGACCCCATCTCTCCACTCACACAGTCACCATCTTAGTTTAGAACCTCATCGTTTCTTACCTAACTGATCTCCCTGCCTTAACTCTCTTCAGTCCTTCCTAAAGAGTGTTACCAAAGCAATTTTCCTTCTGCGCAGATCCGTCCCCGTGACTCTAATACTCAACCAACTCCAGCAGCTCCCTATTACCACGAGGACAAATTTAAACGTTTTTGTTTAGATTTTAAAGTTCTATACCAGCTGGCTCCAACTTCTCTTCCCAGACTCACTGGAGGTTCCTCCTCCTCCCACTCTGTGCAATCCAGCCAAAGTGGCCTTCTCTCTAATTCCTCAGACAGCTCACTCCATCTCCCCTTCTTCACACCTGAAATGCATTCTATCTTTTAACCTCCATCTCACAGAGTCCCTGTCTTCCTCCGAGATAAAGCTCAGGCAGCATGCTCTCCATGAAACCTTTCCTGATTCCTCCCAACTTCTAATGCCTTTCCTCCCAAACCACCTGGCATTTATCTCCCCCATCAGACTGCAAGCTAATTGTGATTAGGGACCATTTCATTCTTTATACTTGTATCCCCCCTGCCCAACACATAGTAGGTGCTTAATAATACTTGCAGTTGATGCATAGTAGGGGCTTAATAATACTTGTTGATTAGTTAATCTTCACAACAAGCCTGTGAGGCAAGGTATCATAATGCCTATTTTACAAATAAGGAAACTAAGTCTCAGATTAAGTTACTTGCCCACAGTCACAAAGCAGTGACAGAATGCTTTCCTGACTCCAAGGTCAGAAATCTTTCCACTGTATCTCAAGACTTCACCTTTTGGTACCTTAGTTTTCTCATCTGTAAAATGGGAATCATACCTGTACTCCCTCCCCACACTAGAACAAGCCTTTTGCAAATTATTAAAAAACTGTGCAAATGTGAGTCAACATCAATACAAAGGCATCACTGTACTTCTAGAAGAACAATCTGAGGTGAAAACTGTCCTGGTATGACAGTGAATTAGGACTGCCATCTTTGGAAAAGAAGGACAAGGTCATGTTACTATTGGCACGATGCTAGGCGATTCTGGAGTGTTTCATCAATACGTGATGACTGACTTAAAAAGCAGATAAATGGAGAGGTGCGACCATTCTAGGAAGTCGAGTAAGGAATCTCACTCTTTGTAAGCCTTTATGAGCTCTGATATGCCCACATTCCATCCAGTCCCCATATTTTAGTTTCACAAATCCAATAAAGGAACAAGAGCTCCTATGCCTCCATAGATCGTATCAGCATCGAGCTGAAGTCAGCTCTCCTGGGCTGGTGCTGATTCAGTACCGAGGCTCCTCAAAGGACAGGACAGAAAATCTCAGACGTAAAGAAAAGGAAGAGCCAAAAAGTCACTGAGAAACAGTCTCTGCCAACACCCCTGTGGGACTTGGTGTTCAAATCAGTTCTGTCTGCCATGACTCTTCATCGATGCTGTGACATCACTGACAAGTAACAAAAACAACAATGAACAACAGCTAGCATTTACAAATGCCTAAAGGTTCACAAAGTACTTTAAAAATATTCCCTCATTTGATTCTCACACAAACCCTGGGAGGTGGTGCTATTATTATTATTCCCATTTTACAGATGAGGAAACTGAGGCTGAGAGTGGTTAAATGATTTGTCCAATCTTGTGCAGCTGGTATCCAAGGAGGTAGGATTTGAACTCAGTTCTTCCTGACTCCAAGTCCAGCGCTTGTTGAGGGAGAAAAAAGTGTAGTTAGCCTCTCTGGCCCATATTTTCCTCCCCTGCCAAATGAGACGGTTGGACTCCATAGCTTCTCAGGTCCCTTACGTCTCTAGGTTCACGAGGGCAGCAAGCTTTGCTGGCTGACCACTAGAAGTCATTAAGCTACAGTGCCCTCTGGTGGGGATAAACTATCCTACAGCCTCCTGGAGTAGACGTGTCTCATAAAGGAGCAATGTGGCCAGAGATGGTCCATCTTCTGAAAGCGTCCCTATGGCTGGTACATAGCCCTATGACTGATGGACTGATTGGGGCTACTGATGTTCCCTTCCCAACTGGCAAAAGCTCGGTCTCTTGCCTGCCCTGAATGTATCAGACACTTGTCGCAACCATCACTGAGTAACTCATTGATTACGGTACAGGGTTACAGGATTTTTTTTTTTTAAGCAATTGGGGTTAAGTGACTTGGCCAGGGTCACGCAGCTAGTAAGTGTCTGAGGCTAGATTTGAACTCAGGTACTTCAGGCCTGGTACTCTATCCACTTCACCACCTCACTGCTCTAATAAGTAGAGACAGAATTTGAACCTGGGTCTTCTGACCCTAAATCCAGAGCTCTCTCTACTATACCAGATTTGGAGGCAGAATAGAGAGGAAGGAAACAAACACTTACTAGGCACCTACTATGTGCTAAGCACTTTACAAATATTATTTCAGTTGATCCTCACATAACACTGGGAGGCAGGTGCTGTTATTTTACCCATTTTACATGTAGGGAAATTGAGGCAAGCAAAGGTTAAGTGACTTGCTCAGAGTCACACAGCTAGGAAGTATCTGAGGCCAGATTTGAACTTGGGTTTTTCTGACTCCAGGCCTTTCACTCTGTTCACTGACACCTACCATGACCCTAGACCTAGAAGTAGAAGAGATGCAGAAAGGTCCATATTAGACAATCCTCTTATTTTACAGATGAGGAAACTGAGCCACAGGGAGGTTAAGGAACATGTAGTAAACATTAAAGGAAGGATTCGAACCCAGGTCCTACACCTTTCAGGGCTCAGGGCTCTTTCCAGGCAGAAGACATAGGTTCAGATCCCAGTTCTGCTACTAGGAAAGTCACACATTCTTTCAATTTAATCCTAAAGAGTCCGGATCCATATTCACTAAAATATTTATAGCAGCACTTCTTGTGACAGCAAAGAACCGGAAATAAAGTAAGTGCCCATCAGCTGGGGAGCAGCTAAACTAGCTGTGGTACATGAACATCATGAACTGCATGAGGATTTCAGAAAAGCTCGGAAAGACTTCCACGAACTGATGCAAAGTGAAATAAAAGGAAACAACATAGACAATGACTAGAACAATGGAAAGAACAGCAGCCATAAGGGATGGAAAATGAAGGTAGGGTCGCCAAATTCCAAAGAACAAGCTGGGCCTCAAAGAAGAGAATGGGAGAAGTCCTTGCCCTAGAACATATGACACATAGCTTTTTTTTTTTTTTAATAATTTCAGGGTTTTTTATTTCCTTCTTCCTATCTTTTCAGTTTAAAAAAATTCTTTGTCACAAGAGATGTCTCTCTGGGACAGAGAAGAATACAGGGGGAAATCTAGGAAAAGTAAAAAGAAAAGAAATGAATAAAAATCTATTTTTAAAAGATTTGATTTTGACTTTCCCTGGGGGAGTCTATAAAGTGAGATAATCACTTTAAAAGCCTAGTCTCTGTTCCCTCAATTGGAAGACAAGAGGCAGCTACTGTAAACTCCTGCACTGAAGGACACTGGGAAAGATTTATGTAGCTCTGTTTTTGATTCCTCTTTAAAACCCAACATACTTTTAACATGAAAGTCTGGGAAATAGGGTGAAAGGGTGTAAAGAACTGATTCTAGACTGGAAAGGTCTAGCACTCGGGCCTCCGGCTCCTCTCCAGCCTGAGGGTTTGGTTTTTCTGCAACGCCTGGAATTGTTTCCTTACACAGACAGGTGTATTGGCCCTCTATGTGTCTATTTATTGGAATCTCAACGTTTAGCTAATTCTCCAATCTTTTCACTTTGTCCGCAGAGATTTAGCGCCAAAGGCTCTAACAATGCCAGAACGACTCCTTCGGCTCCCTCCCTCACCTCGGATAACCTCAGAGAGCACCAACCGTTCTCTGCTTCCTCTGGGACATGCTCAGAAATAACCGTAGCAGCAGAGGAAGGGAGACGGGCTGGGGCTGATGACTCCACCATCCCAACCCGACAGAGACCCAACGCCGGGGCAGCAGACGAATTAAAAGGCTGGGTCTTGTCGACTCCTTGTGCTCACCCCCTCCTTCCCCAGGAAGGTCCACCCAGCTACAGAAGCTGTCAGCTCACACAAACACAGCTGTATCAGCCGCCTGCCAGCTGCCAAACACTGCTGAGAGATACACGGAACATCTCCTATCCCAGCTAAAAATAAGTCCCCGGCTCTCCCTGGGCCCTTGCAAGCAGCGTGTTCATTCTGCCACGGAAGAGTTTTCCAGGAATACTGCAAAATAGACAGACCTCTGGAAGTACTTATATAAAGTTGGCCAGAGCGAATTCTATCTATCCTTTCTCTTCTGATAATGGTCACAGGGAAGTGATGGAAGAAGCTTGCTTCATTAGTGCCTACTGTAATAGGTAAGGCACTGTGGGGAAATACACAATGAAAGATACCTACCCGTCCTGCCGTGCACGTGGTACAACGGAAAGAGAATTGGGTCTGGATTCAAATCCTGCCTCTGCACTTAGTAGCTGTGTGACCTTGGGCAAATCATTTAACTTCTCTGTGACCCAGTATTCTCATTTGTAATAGAAGGGAGTCAAACTAGAGGAGGGGTTCTTTATTTTTTGGCTAGGCAATGGGGTTAAGTGACTTGCCCAGGGTCACACAGCTAGTAAGTGTCAAGTGTCTGAGGCCTGATTTGAACTCAGGTCCTCCTGACTCCAGGGCTGGTGCTCTATCCACTGTGCCAACTAGCTGCCCCGATGAGGGGTTCTTAATCTGAGGATTGTGAACCTTGTCTGCTTTGATAGCTGTATTATAATTGATTTCCTTTATGCATTGAAAAGCATTTATTTTGAGAAGGGATCTATAGGTTTCACCAAACTGCCAAAGGAGTCCATAAAACACAAGGTTAAGAACTCCTAGACTATATCTGTACAAAAATCTTTACAGCAGCTTTTTTTTTTTTTGTGGCAGCAAAGAGCTGGAAACTGAGGGGATGCCCATCAATTGGAAAATGAATGAATGAATGAGTTGTAGTATGTGATTGTGACAGAATATTATTGTGCTATAAGAAATGATCAGGGATTGATTTCAGAAAAAAACCTGGGATGACTTATATGAACTGATGCAAAGTGAAAGGAGCAGAACCAAGAGAATATTGTACACAGAAATAGCAATATTATAACGATGATCAACTGTGAAAAATTTAGCTACTTTGATCCATACAATGATTCACAATTCCAAAGGATTCATGATGGAAAATGCTATGCACCAACAAGTGCAGATTGAAGCATATTTTTTCCTTACTTATTTTTCTTGTCTTTTTGCCTGCAACGTGGCTAATTTGGGAATATGTTTTGCATGACTTCCTATGTATAATGGGTATTGTGTTTCTTGCCTTCTCAATGGGCGGAGGAAGCTGTTAGCTCATTTAGCTTCTTTGCTCATTTCTCAGTAAACCTTCAAGTCATTGGCCAATCAGGATAGTTTTTGTTCTCTCTTTGCCTATGCCTTTAATTTCTGTCTCTTACTGCTATTTGCCAGCATTTCTAGAAGTAAGTCTAGGGTTCTGGCTGAAGATTTGATGCAGATTCACTGGGCCTTGCCTCTTACTTGGGCAGATCTCTCTGCTTCAGGGTGAGGTCCTGTGGGAGAACCAGCCCCGGTTCTGACAAACCTGTTCCCCACACCTCTTTGGCATTGGGAGTTGCTAATAAGCAGATCAGGTCCTTTGAGATGAAGCCATTGCTATGAAAATAGGGGTTCTCTCTTTAATAACAATGGGCTGAAATAACCGCCACCATTCTCAGAAGTCCAGAATTATCACTCCAATGGGCAAATCCTTTCCCTGACCAGCTTCCAGGAAGGGAGCGAGCAGGGGAGTGGTGCAGAATTTGAGTCAGAGGTCTTTCCAGCCTGGAGAATCAGGTGATGCTGAGGTTGGCCACCGATGGGCAGGGGATTGCACTAGTCTCTTCCATCTGGAAAAACAAATTCTATACCATGATCAGAGAGAATCAGACATAAGGCAAGAAACAGTGGGGCTCCTGGAGGCCTCTGAATCTGCTCTGGCAGGTAGGATTCCAAGGGCTAGACAGAGGCATCTTACATACTTTTAGTCTCTAGTATACCAGTCCTGAGTAGGAGAAAACTACCTGCCTTGGATCATATCTTGGGACAGAGGCTCTGTCTACTTTGTAACACGTCCTCCTGTTGCTTGACACATACTCTAAGACAACCTACGGACGTTCAAGGAATATTGTTTGACTAAGAACACTCTCTTTGCTTTGCACACCCACATAACCTCTTCCCCCCGCCACGACTCCAATCCTGGAACCCCAAGTATACATATACTTGCCCAGATTATTTTCAGCTGGCCTGTTGCTCCTCCAGGATCTTGGGACATCATAAATATTGAAGGCTGCATCTGATAGAGCAGAAGTTATCTTTTCTTTTGACTAGCATGAGAGCAGTCATGAGCCCATACCCTCTCCAAGCCAACAAACATTCGTTAAGCACCTACCAAGTGCAAGACACTGTCCTAGGTACTGCAGAAAAATGTGGTAGCATTTGCAAAGAGTTTTGCATTCACTATCTCATTTGATCTTTGCAGCTCTCTAAGGTGGAGAATACAGGTATTATCCCCAAGTTTAAGATAAGAAAACTGAGGCTCAGAGTAATTAAGTGACAAAGTCACATAGACAGTGAGTGTAGGAGACAGGATCTGAACCCAGGTTTTGAAGCCTGAGGAACTCCAGCTTGCAAAGACAGAAGGGCTGGAAGGGAGGAAAGGGGATAACCCACATAGCGGTGCCACCCTGGCTATTCTGGGTAAACCCAGTAATTGCACTATTTGGAATCTATCTTGACAGGGAAACAAATTGGTATTGGGGACAGAGGCAGCTAGGTGGCTTGGTGGATAAAGTGATGGGCCAGAAGTCAGGAAGACTCATCTTCCTGAGTTCAAATGTGGCCTCAGACACATACTAGCTGTGTGACCCTGGGCAAGTCACTCAACTCTGTTTGCCTCAGTTTCCTCATCTGTCAAATGAGCTGGAGAAGGAAATGGCAAACCACTCCAGCATGTCTGCCAAGGAAATCCCAAACAGGGTCATGAAGAGTCAGACATGACTGAAACAAATGAACCCTAACAACAATGTGCCAGACATTGTGCTAAGTGCTGAAAAGGACTGAACAACAACAGAGGGAAAGTGAATTTGTATGTAGGGAGTTGTTGACATTAAGGAGAAATGGAGCAGTCAAGTAACTGAGATGATAATTGGCTATAAAAGTTTTAACCCATGCTTTGGGTTGAGGTGTAACCTACCCATAAGTAGTTAAAAAGGAAAAAAACCCATAAAGGCTGATGATTTCAGCCATTATGGAGGACAGAGAAAATGGGGCAGAGACTTGCATTTGTTAACTGGACCAAACCAGTCTCTAACCCAGGGCTGGGGAACTGTCAGCCTCAAGGCCACATGTGGCCCTCTAGGTCCTCAAGTGTGGTCTTTTATGAAGTTCTGTGAAGTTTGGATTCAGTCAAAGGGTCCCACTTGAGGACCTAGAGGGCCACATGTGGCCTCGAAGCGAAGGCTCCCCACCCCTGATCTAACCTGTGGACAGCTGGAGCTCAACAGAGCAGGCTAGAGACGGGAGAGTCAGAAATCAAACAGAAGTTCAATTTCAAAGTGAGGGAAATGGCTTACAAGCAAGAAGAAATCTAGATACATGTGCTGGGGCCCCGCCCCTAGTGGGGGGACCCAAGGTAGGGTGGGGATATCCCAATGCTTATACCAATGGTTGCACAGTGAGCTGCAGCCCTGACAGTGAGGGAGAACAGCAATAGTGAGACGAGTTTGATTCATAGCAGGGCTTCAGGACCAGAACTTGTCCATACTGGTCCTGGTGTTGGTCAAAGCAATACAATAATTATGTGGGATTTTTCCAGAGGGCAAGGTCATCCAGAGAGTGGGCACAAAGGACTGTTGTTATGCCAAATTCAAGGCACAGCCTGCTTAGCTCTGGAAAACAAGGTGTCTCCTGACATCTTGACACACTGAACATGCCATGTTAGTACTGCTGCTCTAGCCAAGTGACTTATTTGTGCTCCAAGTGAAGGTGGTCTCCCTCCTGGAGAAGGTGAAGAGACACAAAGAATACTCCTCCCCAGGTTATTAGGAAGAAATGTTCCTAAAGAACATGGAATTTTTTTCATCAGAGAAAAAAGGGAGCCAAGGTGGAAAAGGGGCAATGGAAAAACCCTTGTCAGGATGTTGGAAGAGTAGAGGAGTGTTAAACAGAGGAGAAAAGGAAGAAAAAGGCCACCTGAACAATTAGAGCTTAAAGACTATATCTGAGGCTCTTCCTGAAAGGGAGGGAGTTGGATGTTTGAGGAGGAAGAAGCTGCTTGTCCTCCAGAGAAGGGTATAGTAAAGCCTTGACATTAACAGGTGAAAGGTCATCCAGTAAGGGTCAGAGGGAGAGAAGAATAGTGGTGGTGGTTGTTTCTCTGCTGTGGCTACTGAAGCAGCTAGCAGTCAGCCTGAGAAGTCTATGTCTTCCCGGGTTGCCTATCCAAGATGTTACTGATAAGCCTCCCAAGACTTATCAGAACACATGAAAACTGTGCACCTTTGGGGACTCTTGGGTGTGTGGAAAACAAATGTCATCGGCAGCAGGAACCTGAGAAGCATTGCCAATGATTATGAAGTCTTGGGCAAGAAACAGAAGAACAAAGGAGCACAGGTTGCGTTTTTTCTCATGGTCCATCGATCAATAAGCATTTAAGTACTTATTGTGTGCCAGGCACTGTCATCCATTGAAGTAAGAAATGTAGAGAGAAAAAATGAAGCTGGTTAGTGAACAACTAACTAAGAAACTGGTATCTGAAAATGGGATTTGAATTTTTTCAAAATAAAGAGACTGCAGATTTCTGACCAGAGATGGAATACACCTAATGATGATGGGTTGAAGTTATTGGCTGGGTATTTTGCAAATCTAATCAAAAGGACTTTAAAGTTAAAAGATAAGAAGACCCCTTAGGTATATCCTCCAAGTTAGATGTCATTGAGAGTAGCTATAAAAAAGGAAGAATAACAATGGAGATGCCCACAGGTTTGTAGGAGACAAAATAAAAAAAGAAGCCGTTAGTAAAACTCTAGTCCTCCAATGTCTATACACAAATGCCCAAAGTTTAGACCACAAACAGGAAGAACTAGAGTTCCTAATGCAAGGAAGCAAATTTGATTTCACAGGCATCATGGAGAGTTGATGGCATGAAACTCATGACTGGATCATGGCTCTGGATGAGGATTAAAATGTTTGATTAAAATAAAATAAGGTAGGTGAAATGGATGGGTGGGTGTATTGTACATTAGGAAAATATCCTCAGTGAGAACTTCCAAGAACCTCACTATGGAAGCATGACAGAGAGTATGTGGGCAAAGGTCAATAGAGGGAAAAACAGAAGTGATTTTTGTCACTGGCGTATATGACAGACCATCTAGACAGAAAGAGGAAATAGATGAGGAGTTTGGGAAACTGAAACTTGGCACAAATCTGACACAGAGGCATAGGGATGACGAGTGATTTCAGTTCTCTAGACATCTACTAGAATTTTCTTTCTGCCCAAAGCAAAGTAAGCAAAGTAGCTGATGACTCCTTGACTTGCCTCAGTGATATTTTCATCCTTCAAAGGTGGAGGAACCAACAAGGCAAAATTCTATTCTGAATCTGATTTTCATTAACAGGGAGGAACTTGTTGCTGGAATAGAAATGGCAAGTACTTTGGAGGAAGGTGAACATTTACTTCTACAGTATGGAATAAAGGTGGAAAATTGGAGCAGAGTTTTGACATGCACCTTAGGTTTTGGGAAAGTATTTTTCAATGAGTTCAGAGGAAAGATAGGTAGGATGGAATGAACTAAAATGCTAGTCAGCCCAAGAGTGAAAGGAGATGCTTATGAGATTCTAAAGACACAAAAGGGAATGATTCCAGTGAGGGGAAAACATGGGATTTTACTGAAGAGACCTATGTCAACAATCAAATCAGATTTTAAAAGAAATGTACAGAAGATGAAGTAAGTCCAGGTAATAGAAGAGAATAATAACAGCATGTCATGGTACTTCATAAGCAGTGTCAGGAATGCTAAAATTCAGGATGAGCTGAGCCCAGTGAGGAAAGTTAAGAACAAAAAAAAAAGATGTTTGTTTGTTTGTTTGTTTAGTAATCTCTGAAGAAAAAGGAGGATCAAAGAAGGGATAGGACCTTTGCTTGGAGGATGTGGGTGGGATGATGATAGCTGACAAAAGAGAGAAAACAGAACTGTTGAATTTTTATTTCATTTTTAAATAAATTTTAAATAAAATTTTTATTTCATTTCTCTGCCAAGGAGAATGAACTTTGACCTGGAGATGACGGAATAAAGATGAATAATAGGGAGTTGATACGCAAGATAAATAAGGAATTAATATAGGTAGCTAGCTTCTCTGGATGAATTCAAGTCATCTGGCCTCAATGAGTTATATTCATGAGTCCTAGAAGGACAGGCAGACATGACAGTTAGTAACATTTGAAAAATTATGGAAACCAGGAGACCACAAGACTGGAGAAAGGCAAATGTCCTGGTTTTCAAAAAAGGGAAGAGAACAGACTGTAAACTATAGGCCAGTGAGCTTGACTTAAAATTCCTGAGAAAATTCTACAACAGGGCATTAAAAAATGGTTGGCGAGCTTCTAGAGAGAAGTGATTACAAGAAACTAGCATACCTTCTTCAACAACAGGTCATACCAGACTGACCCAAGTTCTCAACCACAGGTCATACCA